ATTGAATTATTTTGACCACTAAAGGCTCATTTTTCACCATCTGAATAGTAACTTTAAGTTCTGTTTTATTCTGTACTATTCACTGAGGAAAGTATTTTCTATCTCTTTGGAAATGTTGTTTTCTTCACCATCTTGTCATTCACATTTCGTCTTTCTGCTCTTCTGCACACAGCAGGTAGCCTGGTTGCGGTTTTATTAGGATCAGGCTGGAGGATCCTGTTATTTGGGGCAACTGGAAGTGCTGCTGTTAAAATCAGTTTGAAGGCAACAGAAAATGAAAAGCAAAGCAAAACTCCCCCACACTACCCGTTTCTTGAACTCGCCATTTTTGGGTTTTTTTGCCACATTTTCTCCCTCACCAGTATGAAAACGACAAAGCAAAGACATTCGGAACCTCAAGATCCCAGTGGCGAAATGCTGCAGAGTCAAAGTTGCAACATGGAAAGATAAATCTTTGTGGGTTCATCAGCTTAAGCAATCCCATTCACATTAACGCATTGTCGTCTTGCCAATAAGGCAAACATCGCTTCACCTCCTCCCATGTAATTATAATATTAGGGGAGCTTTAACGCAACTTGGCTTGTTAGCCAGAAAAGCTGCGGTTCCCGAGCCCGGCCCACTGTGGTTTAGCTCAACCAATAAAGCTGTTTGTGCCTCACAAGAAATGTTTGTGCAGTTGAAAACCCCACTGACCTGATTGTTCAATGTGGAGCATATACTGCTTTTATAAATATTGCTTTAGATTTATTCCTACAGCACTTCTTGCTTAAGAGACCTCTTGTCTTTGATGACTGCCTCGCTCCCCTCCTCGGCTCTCTCCCTCTGCTCCTACATCTGCTTTCATTTTTCTCGCAGTGTATGACAAACAGCAAAGAAATTTCAGGCTGTGGTCATCCTAAGCCAGTCGCCCCTCCTCCTGCTTTCTCTTGGCAGGATGGCTCGTGTCTCACATTTAATCATGAATGCTTCGCCAGGCAGCTGGGCCTGAGGGAGACTCAGAGGGGGAACGGTGGAAACCTGATCTGGTAAAGCAGGCCGTGTACAGTGAAACCTTTTCATAAAGACTCAGGACTCGGGCCCTAACACAGCCATTATTGGAGTTTTATCAGGGACCAAAAAAACAACAACCAAAAACGAATGTCCAACATGTTTCAAGTCAAACTGGCAAATGGTGGCAACGGAAAAAGCACAAGGTTTAAGCAAAGCAGCCGGACCACATTAAATAGCAAATTAATTGAACAGATGGAAAAATGAAATCCCCCTCTCTGGGCATGCAGTTCCCATTTTTTGCTTTATTTCTTGCATCAGGAAAGTGACTCTTTTCCACCGAATGAAAATAAAAACATTGCCAGGACATATGGCATCTATTTAGCTTTCCAAATTGAAAGTGCCACCAGTGGCCAGCCCCACATCACAGTGTCAAACATTTTCTTTCTCATCCATCCCTGTATAATTTCATCCTCAAAGAAAAAGCTTTAAGGGAAGAGATAATTGAGTGGCACATGAACCTAATCTTTTCTGCAGAGTCTCCCGAGGGCCCTGGGAGTGACAAAACTCTTCATCTCGCAAGTCTCAAAGGAGGAAAATTCTCTTAATCTCACACTAGACTCAAATCAGAACACTGGCGGATAAAATCTACCTTCATTTGGTCCATTTGCTCTCTGACAAGAGCAAATTACCCCAACGGTGCTTCTAAAGTCAAAACCATGTGGTTGAAATGGTTTGAAGGTTGCAATGTACCCTTCTGTATCATTGTAACGTTGATAGATGCAAGAGAAAAATTAAGTCCATATTTAGTCAAGAGAGATGAAATACACAGCTAATTAAGTTAGATATATTTAGAACACCTTCCAAGCAGCTTTCACAAAGTTAAATCATAGCAAGTTAGAAAAAAGTGATTACAAAATACAGTCCAGTAAAGTCAAATAAGGTACACCAATCGTCTTCTGCTGCTTCTTAAACAAATCCATTGACTCCACAGTGTTTTAAATTCAAGGACAAAAAATTGAGAGTGCCATGTCTCCGTCACCTTTAGCTTTAGCATTGATTCCAGGACAGATAAAAAAAAGAAATCCCAAAGCAGCTGACCCCAGGGTCCTGACGATGACTTACAGCTGTAGAAGTTCAAAAATGTATAAAGGTTCACGACCAAGAAAAGCCAAACCAGAACCTTTAACTATATTCTGTTCTCAGCAGGGAGCTCAGAGCAATCACTATTGATGTGCTACGGTAGCGCTTGGAGGATCAAATCAAAAGGCTGCTTTTAGGACAGGCTGTGCACAATTTGGGGAAGTTTTACTGAGGCAAGTAGAAGAGAATCACAGTCATTTTTGGGAATGGAAAAAAGAAAAGGATGAGCAACTATTTCAGTTTCAATATGCAGGATTGCAGCGCTCAATCTTCTAATAGTTCTCAACAGATAAAAATTAGATCAAATATTGTCCCTTCAGAAATCAGTTTCAGTGCTCCACAATCTGAAAGACCAAAGTCGTCAGCAGCCGTTCAACTGGATGAAATTACCAGGCAGGTTTAAGCATTTCAAACGGCACTGACATAGTAAAAAGTTGAAAATCATCAGCACTGCAGAGATGAAAGAAATGACTGAAAAATTATAAAAGGAAAGCAAATGAAACACAAATAAATGAGGGCTAAGGTGACAACTCGCTAGAACTGCATGGTTAAAACAATGAACGGTCTAAAGTTGGGGTCTCTAACTCAACAGCCACTCGACTAGAACTTGGTACCCCTGACAAACCGACCCAGACATGCCTGCCTAACATTTCAGTACTGAAGAATCCACATTGTGTCAGAGAATGTCACTGAAACTCTGGACAAAAATGTCAGGTACTTGATTCAGTAGAGTTGGCTCCACAGAATGGATCCAAGATTTCTCCAAGATGTTAAAATGAATTATTCTTTTCAGAAAAAGTTTCAAGAGTTTAAGAGATAAAAAATGTGGAGATGGTGTGGTAGGTACTGAGTTTTCTTAAAAGTAAACAAATGCAAGTATTTTTAAATTATGCTGAAGCCTGAAAGTGTGCATTTTCCAATCAAAAACCATACAACGGCCTTTCACCAAAGGCCATAGAAGACATAAAACACAAAAAGTCTCCATTGAAAGGAAAATATAATAATTCCTGCCCAATGTGTTCAATCACCAGGGGGACAGCAGCTCAAGAGGAGGTGGATTGGGCCTGTAACCAATCGATTAGAGCCACATGTACTCGATGCTAACGTCCAAGCAAAGGCGTATTTTTATAGCATTTTGGACAATACACATCAACAATAACGTTATCAGGTCTCGGGATGATCAAAACAATAATCGAGCAAACAGATCTGAGAGTATTAAAGACTTTACATATGTTCTGTATTGGTTATTGTGTATATTCCTCCCATTTCTTCCAATGTCTCTTACCAAACTCCCCCTGCAGTCGTAGACTAAAAGTGATACGTTCCATCAGTTTAATGGAACGGAGATAATGAGGCTCATGGTGGGAGGGTCTTTGCACAGCCAGCATTTTGTTATGGTCTTTTTAGCAGACAGTAGGCAAATGTTCAAGAGAAAAGTAGTGAGATGGTCTGGAAGATAGCCCAAAAACATTGATGTGAATGAGTAGTCGATGTTAAAGGCTAATATTTCATAGATTATTTTCTTTACTGCCACCCAGAAGGGTCGTGTAGATGGACAGGTCCAGTAGGACTGAATTTAGACTTTTGTTTCAGTATTATGAAGAAGCAGATGATGATTTTCCAACTGGAGAGATGTTAGCTGATGTTGGAGTTAGAACGGTGTTGTATGCAACTCTGTGCTCAAATGGTTGAGCATTTCATGGATGCATATCAGCCAAACTACTACTTTGTGCTGCACTGACAGGTGTGTGGAAGCTGCCCTGGCAGAAAGGAAACACATCTAAGTGACCAGCTAGCTCATTAAACTTGCTAGTAACCATTCAGGTTGTGGGAAATTAAGAAATTTGTATTAAGAAATGTAGGCAATCAGTTCACTCGACTGGGAAATGTGGGAGTCTTTACTCGTCTCGCCTGGTGACCGTGCAGCTTACCACAATCAGCTTGTGAATGTGTGAATGAATTGTAGTGCAATAAGCTTTGGAGTCCTCTGACTTGATTAATCGCCATGTTGTTACAATAAGCATTAAAGTATCCATCGAAAAGATTTCTCCAAATATAGCTTTGGTTGAATTACGCATCGCAAAAGCATGCGACAGGGTATAATCCTTTACATTTTCATTTTTGCTGGTTCTTACCATTTACAGCCACAAATTTCTTGGAATTATTTTTTTTTCAAATTCAGCACCCTGTGTCATTCAGGCTGCAGAAATTCAAATTGAGCCTTGTCCAGTGAAACTAATTGCCACCGCTGGGCTCTAATGTTTGCCTGTCATGACTTAGAAGAGACATCTGTAGTAAGTATGTCATTACGCGCTCCTACACCCACAGCTGACAAAACCATTCCACGGGAGACCTCTGAGCAGACGCTGTGTGTGGGAATCATGCCGGCCCGACCCGGTTCAAGGTAAGGCTTTTATTCTTTCAAATATTTTCAGGCAGGTACAGAAAGCTGCGCCGATGAAGGACAAGATGTGATCCACATTTCAGCATCAGTCTAATAAGACAGCAACCAGAGACGCAGGCTGCCATCATCATGAAGGACCTTCATAATTACAGTGAAGTGTAAAGTTTTAATAAAGGGAAAGCCTGAGAAAGATAAGCATGTGGCTGATAAAAGAAATATCTGGAGGCAAAAAAATAAATAAAAAAATGCACAGATCAGAATCAATACATACTTGTGAGGAGGATCATTAATTCTCTGAAGCTCTCTGATAGATTCAAGTACTGCTATCATGCTCCTGTGCTCACTATATAGCTAAACATCCACTTTAAAGACGGATGAGCAGCTCATTGTAAAAGTGATGAGAGTTTATTTTGACTTTTCGAGATGTTACAAGTTTGTTGCATGTTTTTCGTTTTACGTGTGTAACCCATCTGTGCTCGGCTCTGGTCCAGGAGGTTGACTTCACGACAAACACATTCAAGCTCAAAAGAGGAAATCGAGCCGCTTCTGCCCCAAAAACATTAAATAAGTTACAATAAATAACCCTAAACAAACCACAAAGCAACGGATCCCAATGAGCAGTTGTACAATTAAACATAGCTAAAATGAGTAACGCTAATAATGATAACAGTTTAAAAACATAAAACTACTCATGAAACACTGCATATGATCAAATTTGTCTAAATATCATATTTGTGAACGCAGAGCTGATTCTGATACAGACCACAGTTACCGACGGCAACAGATGGGGGGAGCTGTCAGTTACCGGTTGCTACGGTAACCACCAACTGTCAAGAGCAGAGCAACCGAACTGGAAACACCAATAAGTGTTCGGAGAAACAGCTGGTTGACTGAACAAAATAAACTCAAAGAACTAACAAACTTCGCGTCTATAATATTGTTAAAATATTATATTTTACATATCTTAAACGTGTAGTGTGGATATTTCTACAGCATTTCTGAGTCAATATTCAGTAGATCCACAGATTTATCTTGGGGTATTTTATCAGCTTCACACATCTGGAACATGAACCTTTAAAGTTTTGTCCAGTATCCTTCGAACTCAGGCAGATTGGATGGAAAACATCTGCGGACGGCAATTCTGAGGTCTTGCCACTGATTCTCAGTTGGGTTTAGAGCTATACTTTGCCTGGACGATTCCAACGCATAAAGGTGCATAAAGGTGCAGCTGAATTTTAGCTCTGGCTGTATGTTTGGGGTCGTTGTCCTGCTGAAAAATGAGCCATGAGCCTTAAGTGTTTTAAAGGTTTTCTGCTCTGCATCCCCAGAACCAGAACCAAACATGGAGAAGCAGCATTCAGCTTCTATGCACCACAAATCTGGACAAAACTTGGAGTTGGCTTTGATTAGTGGTAGGTGAAACATTGATGAACATTTTTATGTGTATTTGCTTCAAGATTCTCATGATGGCATTTGACAAAATGTTATGTTTACTGCTTGTTTCATAATTAATGAATGTGTTATTTTTTTAGGAGACACTGACTTTCTCAATATTGCTCTCTAACAAACCCCTGAGTTGTATTTTTAATAATTAAATGGCTTCAATTAAATCTATTTTAGCCATTACAGTAAAATATGGGGAATATAAACGCATGACACACTTTTATTAATTTTTAATGAAACATTCGGAAAACGATCAATCACTTTCTTTCCCCTTCTTAGCTCACAACTTTCTTGTTGCTCTGTCATGGAAAATATTAATAAAACAAGCTAAAGGTTATTTCTAATGTGGCAAAAATGTTTAATGTTTCAGGGGGAAAACGCTCCTCCAGCAGCAACTGAACAGAAAAAAATCACTGGTCTTTTAATTAAAAAAAAAAAAAATCAATTATTCAATCAGTAAACAGGTTGTGATGAAAACAGCCAAACAGCAGGAATAAAGACATTGTTCTGATTAGTGAAAGGGACTTTCCCCTGTGTGTTTAGATGCATAAAAATACTTTTTGTTTGTGCTTTTTTTAAAGGAATAATTCTGTCAGCTGCAGACAGAGAGAGAGAGCGAAATCTAGTTTTAACATCAGTTTCTCTTTTGTACTTTTTTCTCCTGAAACAAATGGGCATTGTGCAGGAATGACTCAACTGGGCAAGATTTCCACCAAATGATTGCTGCTCTCCTTCATTCTGCACTCTCTAAACTGAGCGTGCTCTTTATTTATGCTTTGTCTGAGCACTCCCAGCCTGATGAACACAGGCACTGAGTGACAATGCCAACAAATTAAGAAATACAAACCCCTTCTCCCAGTTGCTCTGCTCCCTTTAAAGCAAAAACTGTATTCTCGTTCCCCCACCGCAACCCATCTCATCAATCAGAGGGAGCATCGGGTGAAACGTTCGAACCCAATCCAACTCCTGCTCTCTGCTGTTTCCACAGCCTGCTGACACTTTACCAGATCTGGGAAAGACTGCCCTCTTCCTCTGCAACTCCTCCTAATACATTTAGGAATATTAATCTGGACCTGCTTAAACAACTGCAATCAAAAGGGCCATTGTGCCCTTAAAAGAAAGACACAATTATTTTAGCTGGAATCAAATTTCCTCATAGTTTTATTTTTTACCGGGCTCCATTTCCATCTTAGATTTATTTTCCAATCATTGGAAAAGACCAAATAATGTGAGCATAGTCTTTTGTTTTTGCCCGAATCGCTCAAGCAGAACATGATCTGCGGAGAATAATCAGGAGAGAATATTGATATAATAGAAATGCTGTAAAAGCCAGGTCTCTGTCCCACAGGATCACCTCATTCTGACATATAAACCTGCAGCAAAATCATTATGAAGCAAAGGCCCTTGTCTTCCATCACGGCTCTCCCGCGTCAGGCCGTAATGTACCCTGCAAACTTTCAATACCTTTGTAGCATCTGCTTTTTTTTTTTTCTTCTTCTTCTTTTTGTGGCAAGTCATGAATTCAATAGAGAAAGGTCTCTCTCTAACACAATGCATCACCTGATTGATGGCCATTTCTGAAAGAACTGCCAGAACAAAACAAGACCCTCAACTCCAATTCCCTCTGAGGCGATGAGTTTTGTCGGGTGTCAAAATGAACAAAAATAGCGAGCAGAAGCTGATTCATTCTGACCTGAAAATAGATGATGGATGAAAACCGCAGGAGAAACACAGAGCGGCACTGCCTTGTGAGGATGAAAAAAATATCACCTGGCAGACGAACAGGTACTTAATTATGAGGTACACAAAGTCGCATCAAGCTGCTTGACAATAATGTTTCCCCGAAACACTAATAGAACTGTCTTAGCTCAAATAGGCTCTTCTACTCTGATACAACATTGTGTCACTCAGATGATAAAATGGCAAATGAGACCAATAATATGTAAATTTATTACAGAGGCAGGCAAATTTGGGGGCACCTCTCAAAAATCCTTAGAATAAATGCATCTTTTAATGCAATAACATAAATAAATATTTTTAAAAAACTTATTTTGAGTACATTTATTCATCCATTCATCTATTGTCTCTACCCGTATTTCCGTACAGGGTCACAAAGGAGCTGATGCTCATCTCCAGCGGTCATTGGTCGAAAGGCAGGATACACCCTGGACAACCATGCACACACACTCATGCCTAAAGGTAATATGGAGACACCAGTTAATCTAGCAGTCATGACTTTTGGACTGCAAAGTTCATGTAGAAAGATCCCAGGTTGGGATTTGACCATCTTGCTGCAAGGCAAGCATGCTACCAACCGCACCAACGTGAAGTCCGAAAAATTTCACTGATTAAAAAAATAAACTTTGTATTTTTGCCAAAAACAACTCTACGTCCAAGGATTAGGAGCAAGGACTCCTTACAATCCTTTCCAGTCACAAAAGCTAGTTAAGATACCATAAGTTAGCGCTTTTGCTAACTTTGAAAACGTTTGGTGCACTTAGCTTCCCCTAAATCAATTTGTCTAGATAAATTCTAAAGTAATAATTTACTTTCCTGTTTGCAAACTTTTGATTACTAAGAATTCTTATTGTCCTCTTAATTTAGAACATGTGAAGATTGTTTACACACCGATTCTGTTTCCTCTCTTCCCTTTCTCTCTTTTTGTCCCCAATAATTTATTTTATACAAGAAATACACAGGAACAAAATCAAACACAAATAGTAAAAGAACAAAACAAAAGCATGAAGTCAATACCTAAGAGGACAATAGAACATGTTAACTATAATGTCAAAATGTAATTGGTGCTCAAGGGTTAGCACTTTAGCATTAGCTTCCAGTGAATACCCTGTTGGTGTAGCGCTTTAGCATTAGCTTCCAGTGAATACCCTGTTGGTGTAGCGCTTTAGCATTAGCTTCCAGTGAATACCCTGTTGGTGTAGCGCTTTAGCATTAGCTTCCAGTGAATACCCTGTTGGTGTAGCACTTTAGCATTAGCTTCCAGTGAATACCCTGTTGGTGTAGCACTTTAGCATTAGCTTCCAGTGAATACCCTCTTGGTGTAGCACTTTACTGCTACTTAGCAAAAATAGATGGTTAAGAGCCAAAAAACCTTAAAGACAGTTTCACAGAAGATAGCTCAAGTTTTATGAGCAAACTGGAATGTTTGTTATTAAAATGCTCATCTGAGAAAACCTCACAGCTCTACATGTTTAGGTATGTGAGAACAAGACTTTCTTTTCTCTCTCTTTTTTCTCTTGCATTCCTCCCAAACAACTTCTAGGCTTGTATTTTGTGTTTAATGGCCTTTATGGCGAGTTAGAAAACCCAAGATGCTGCTGTTGCAGTTTTTCAATAGTTAGGGATGGAAAATTATACCCTCATTTTTCATGATCGTTAAAAAAATTACAATTACTCATCCTGTTACAAGGCAGCTGTGATAAGTTACTTTTTATTGTTACCTGTCATGTTACTCATGTTACTTGCCACTGCAGTGAACAAAGACATGGAATTAAATCTTCAGTCAATTTCACCCATCACTGCAAACGGTGAGTTTTGTAGAGTTTAAATCATCCTCCACACTGTGAGGTGGCGAAATAAATGTGGTCTCTGAACAAACAGCTTTGTGGCCGGTGGCAAAAAAAATGTACCCGTGTCTTTGCAGATCTTCAATCAGCTTTAATGGCAAAGAAACCTGAGCAAATGCAAAACTACTTTCCCCCCCAAATTTAAGACTAAAAAAAGCAATAAACCAACATTCCCCCTAACCTTCATACTTCAGTGCTCCATCTTTGGTAGCAACAAATGCTATCAAGTGCTTACAATACTCTTGTTTACTCTGCAGCATTGTCTAAATTTCAGCAACACTGGATGAATTTTCAGCATGGCTGTCATGTTCATGCTGCAGAATCAATGGGATTTAAGTACAGGCTTTGATTTGGCCACTCAAAACTGAGGGAGCACTGATCGTCCCCAGCTACGCCAATTCTGGGCGATCAGCAATCCACCAATACTTAAATGTGAAAATAATCTTATCCAGATTTATTTCATCTACCTTTGCAAAGAGCCAAAATCAGCCACGTTCCCCTTTTGCTCTGACTGTGCCAGGAAAAAAACAA